TATCTAATACTAGCATAGAATCAATTACTGCATGAATGGTGGAATGGATGTTAATCATTCAACATATTTCATATATGCAGGACAATACCGATTGGGCATACGCTGAGGAAATCGTCGATTATCATCGCGCGCAATGCGTGCTATCGCTGTAGTAGAATCCGAATCGGAAAGAACGAGTTGGGCATCTAAGAGTGACATGGAGGAGTTCGTGCGAAGAGGAAATGAGAGATTATGTACAATCGTGGGCGTAATTGAGGAGGACAGTAGAGAATAGGACAAAGTGGAAATGTGTTGTTGAAGTCCTTTCTTCTACTCGGAACTCAAGGGAACAATAATAATAATAATGTAAAACAATCTATCTACACGTGATTTCCCTTCCTAAACTAGTAAAGAGAAAACTGATGGATGGATGTAAATTAGAGAAAAATAAATCTGTTCGTAACGTATTTTGATATGTACGAGTTCATGTTGACCGTTTATTTAGTCCACTGAAGTAGTGATTATATATATATATATATGTATACATATATAAACAAGACATATAAGCGAACAATATTGTTTTCAATTAGATCTTCTTCAGGCTTTACTCCAATTTACATAGATTTATATATAAAAATTTTAACCATTGACGGTGATTTCGTGGATCAAATAATAATGGTAATAATAATAATGCGGTAAATGCTTTGGACGTCAGTAATAACGACTATTATAATGATAATAAAATAATGATAATAAAGTTCGTTAAAGACCAAATACAATCTATATGAGGTTCTATTTTGACTCATTTGATTGATAGTGGTCAGCAAGTGGACAGAAGAAGTCCCTTCAAAGTTATATATCGCATTCCATCGAACCTTCCGAACAGAGTTCCAACCTGCCTTTTACACAAAGCCGAAGCTATGGGAATTCGAGAGAACAGTCCTGATCTTTGCATACAAAAGAAGTTTGTTCTACCTTTGTTTCTCCCTTGGCTTAGGTAAAGTTTAATTAAAACTCTCCCACCCTTTTATGATACTTATTTAAACTCTGATTATCTGTCCACTTCACCTTTAGTATTACGTAACTTTTAAGATTTGACCTAATTTATTTATTGATTTGTCTACACATACACGTATTACCACCCTCGTTATTCCCATCACCACCTGCATAAGCCTTTTTATCGTTAATTTGTTATCATCACGATCATCGTTATTACTGACGCTCAAAATATTTAACACTTTTTGTTATTATCATTATTATTTGATCCACAAAATCACCGTCAATGGTTAAAATTCTTCTACATTAATCTATGTAAATTGGAGTAAAGCCTGAAGAAGATCTAATTGAAAACAATATTGTTCGCTTATATGTCTTATTCTAATAATAATAATGGGAATATTTAAAGATATATATATAGTTTGGGTGCAACTTCCGGTATTATTTACTTTAGTAAAAATATCAAGTCAGATAATTAGAAAATCAAAGTGGGTTAAATTATTTTATCGAAATGTTGTGAAAAAGTAGAACAGATTCACTTTTAATAAAATAATCAGTCTATATAATGAATAAATAAAAAAATAATAATAAGCATACAATGTTCATTAGAAAGAACCTTTGTAAATTCAAGAACGTAAGCATAATGTACGGAAGATGGGACGAAATCACGTTGGTGTCACCTTAAGAAATAACTACTCATAATGCAATCATCTGAAACTATAAATTTAACATAATACTGTTTGCATCTAGTCTCACTGGCTAACACTACTTTACGGGTAGATACTTCCTTAAAACAGTAATGATCCTGTTGTGATTGAAAAATACACTGTCATATTCCTATATTATAAAATTTTATGATAATTAATACACTTTATATGAGGTGAAAATATCTCCTGAATGAAGATTATCTTTCCACATATCCTACTGTCCGGCTTGACAGACTTAAAAACAGCTTTTTTTAAGCACGTAGATATAATAAAGAAATCATTCCGGTATATATGTAAGTTGTTAACAGTGTTCATAAACATTTATTATTATCTGTAATCAGTCTGATGGTGAAATCCATAGAACAAATGACAACAGGTTTAGAAAAAGCCTATTTATACTATATAATGCAATAATATATGACTATTAAAAACATTTATTGCTTCCAGAAACATGTTTGACATTTAAAATCATTTTCAGCTGGAGATTTAATTTAATGATTAATAATACTATACTATGGGCATACTACCAAGATTTTCTTTAACCTGTGTTCTGTGTTTAAGTCTAGATTACATAAATCATTTACACATAAATTCTGAAGTAAAACATTGCCCCTGTTACTTATGAACTAGAAAACGAACAATGTATATAGTTTGTGCTGAGTGGTAATATTTGAAAATCAGAAAATATATAAATTTAGTAAAAAGCAGTACATTTAGTAAGACATTTAAAGTCGACATTATCCCACGTACATTCTTTACCGTAGATGTAATAAAATGCTAATGTACTAATCCCCGAAAAACTTGAACAAATGTTTACTGACATCAAACAAGCATACTTCAGTATTAATCCAACCTCTCCAGGTGTATAAGGAATGCTGAGAGAGCTCGAAATTTAAAAAAATTGTTATACTTGATAACTCAAACATCTTTAATAAAGTTCATATTGACTATCACTCAAAAGATTTCTTGACTAAAGGACCCAGTTATCCTTATTATGAAGAATAATTTGATTTGGTAAAACTGTTTCTAGGCTTTGAGGCTATTCACACACCTCAAAGTAAGAAATTATCTTCAGTCAGACTATCAAAAAATGTATCACATTCTACTAATTAAGTTAGTAGGTAGAAATACACAAAATATCTGGTTATTGTTGTGCATAAACTGATCTTCATCACCAAATAAATTGAGAAAGTATTAAACCGTTTTCTATTGAATAAACAGTAAAGATTGATTTATCAAAACAATGCTGAATACATGCATAGAAATGTGAATGAAAGAGATTTATGGAAATAAAAACCAAATACAGAGATTTTCGAAATTTCCCTGGGTTTGCATGAATACGAGTAGTGAATGTGCACTTCAAACATCCACCATTGAGCACTATCCTGTTTTTCTGTACCTTATTAAATAATTAAACAAACATGGAACTAAAGTATATCAAAGCCACAACTTTCTACACCTATATCTGTTTCTAGTCTGAGGAAGGCGTTGTAAGTAAAAGTTCACTCTTGACATAGAATGCCTATGAAGACTGGGAATATCACAAACACGATAATGAATAATACGTAAGACGTTCTGTGACTCATGTAATGAGATAAATGCTTGAAAAAAAAAACATTTATTTCATCTAAGGGTTTCATTTCTCAGAAACAACGTCTTACATAATCTGTACAAAAGTAACCTTAGTTACAGTAAATAGACTGGCATTAAGTTGGCTATGAAATGAAATAAATGTAATTATCACCATATAATCAGGGGAAAGTTAAAACATATAAAATACGACATTTTCAACGTGTACTTCCTCTTTTCTGTTATCACCGACTGTAATATTCGTTACTTCCGCAGAATAATGTTTTTCTGGAAACTTATTCTCAGAAATAAACAGTTAGTGAAGGTAGAACTGAGAAAAATGCTGACGAACTGTCCCTCATACTTCAGGAAATAATACTATGCTACGTGTGTTTATTAGTGTTTTAACTTAAGAAAAATTTAGATATGACAAAAGTAGTCTATCATAATATGGGCTGCAAAAACCACTAGGTACATGCACATCCACATCATGGTTATTTGTATTTAACTACAAAGAAATGCAGAATTAAAAAACTCTACACTTGGTAAGATATAAATTTCACCTGTAATACACTTGCTGGCTTGGTGGTAGTGCTTTCCTTGTTGCTTATGTGTCTCAAGACAAGTTGAATCATAGGTTTTGGTACAACTATTCAATTTTTATGGATAATCTAGCTAATTTTCACTCAGTCAATATTTCCTGTAATGTAAAACGTATCTTGGAACTATAACAAGGTAATCAAACAGAAATTCATAGACTTTGGTTGATATGTTTTCATTATCATAAATTATTTATTATTATTATTTTTCCCTTGGGTTCCAAGTAGAACATAGGACTTCAACAACACATCTCCAGTTTCTTCTACTATCGGCTGTCATCTTCAGCTGGGTTCACGATTGCACATAATCTCTCATTTCCTCTTCGCACGAACTCCTTCATGTCACCCTCACAATACCAACTGGTCGTTTCCTAATCGAGTTCCACTCTAGCGATGGCCTGTATTTGCATGCGACATCATTCGGTGGTCTCCTTGGCGAATGCCCAACCCATCTCCATTTTGGTTGAGAGAGAGGTTCTTGATTGGTTTGTCGCCAGATTTTCTTATTGCTTATTCTTTCTGGCTTGCCACTTGATGTTCAATATGGGGCAAAGGCGGCTACTGATAAAAGTCTGCAGTGGCCTGTTGGAAATGCTTCTCGTGAGGCTTAGTGCAAGTTTCTGACCCATACAGAAGAAGTGACTGACCAACTTCACATTTGTGTTGAAAATCCGAATCTTGTTCTTTACGCAGAGTGCAGGAGATGTACTAACTGATTTTAGTTCGATGAAGGCGTGTCTTGCCTTTCCGATTCTGGCCTGCCTTGACATCTCCATCCATTTTACTTGTGTTTGAAACGATGTTTCCTAAATAAGTAAGGGAAGTAACCTCCTTCAAATTTATCATCAAAAATTCTCTGTTAATACTTTTCCAATGACTATCTTTGACTTTACTAATTGTTTTTAATAAGTATTCTTGGAGTTTTCATGAATTGAAAGCATATCTTCATTACTTTGTAGTACTGTCAAGAGACACCCAGCAGCAAAAGTGTTAGATCTATCTCCCAATATATATATATATATATATATATATATATAGCCATATTCGAATCAATAAAGTGTGCATGCATACTATAGTTCACATATCTAAACATTTTATAAACATAAAACTCAAGGGTACTTGATAGATTTTTTCATCTGAATAAACTCACCTGTAGATGTAACAGTTATGACGAGCAGAATAAAACAGATATGCAGCACTTTAATATTGCCAAATCGCATCATAATGATATGAGAAAGTAAGAAATTAGATGAAATATTCAATGTAATTCTTAAAATATATCAGTGATAAATAAAATCAGTAGTTAGATTTGGTAACACATTCAATTTTACAGCTGTCTGTATACCTTAAGCTAACATCTATGTCTTCGTTTAAAAAGTCGACTAGTATTGGTTATTCAAACTGATAAGATAGAATTAACTGTGTGGTGGATGGGAAACATGTAACGTTTATTGTAACACTTATGATTGGTGGAATTTAAAAAGAACAGTCTGGAATAAATAAGATTAGAGAATATTTCAGTGAATGTATTTATAAAAAAATATTGACTTTTTTGTAGTAGTCTTCAGAGGAAACTGTTCAGGAATGCAGTTAACTGAACTAACACGACCAATGAAACTTGAATTGGCTTTCAAACTGCACTTTGGACAGTTTAGTTATAACAGTGTCTCAAATTAGAGTGCACGACTGGTTTAAGACTATTTATATCATAATTTGTAATGTAAGCAAAATAAAGTAAAATTACTGGGTGTGAAGTGTCTGACAGGTTATTATAAAAAACAACAGTAATAATAAATGGATTAATTGTAATCCTTTGTGAAATGGTTTATAATGAGCAGAACATGTAATTGTGTAGTAAAAATGTAGAATAACATGTAAGTGATTGGTTACAGGATTTCATCATTAGCTGACATCAGTTAGAGGACGATTGGAAAACCAACTGGGGGTACTAGACAACTGTTTTGTCCTAGTCCGGGACTCTTCACAGTGCGTATCCGCTGAGGTTCGAATCTAGGATCTTCGGGTTATAAGGTGAGCTCGTAGACCATTCAGCAACTGGGCACCGAGCTAATGGCTCATGAATTCACAAACGTCTGACAGTTAAAGGAATTGATGTCGCGCTTTGAAAACCGTCAGTTTCAGTACTAGCTAAAATGGTCAAAATGTCTGTGTGACAAACTACAGATTGCAAAGTCCCTCTCTTTCCGAATTGACGCGATCTAGTCTATCAGCACAACTAATCTGCGAGTATTGGTGGAAGGAATGACATTGCATGATAAACTAGAGTGACGATAAAAACTAGCGATAGATAAATGTTTGACATTTACAAGGTGAAAGATTCTTTGATCGCTACGTTTACTGTGATCGTACATACTACTGATTAGCATAAGGACTTATAAATCACTCACATCAACCACTAGTCCATGCTAGCTGGATCGAAATGGTCTAAACACCAGAAAGTCTTTTCATTCATTTTTGACTGAGGTCAATAGGGTTGTATCAGGTTTGACTCATTTCAGAGGGCCGAATCATTCAAAGCACCCATATTCTGGATGACCGCTTGATAGAGCTGGTAATGTGTAGAATCGTGTTTGCCCTCTACAAACTACGCAGTTCGAGGCAAAATTCGCTGCTCCGTTCCTTGTTTAGATCTCTTCTATTCAGTAAGCAAGCAATACCACTTGATGGGAATTGTATCCAACTATTCAGTCCAATATGTATTATGTATCTTCAAACTATTTTGCTTGGTTTTACTGATTGTCATTTATGGTATCATGCAAATGACATATTGTATTTCTGTTATTTATGAGTGTCTGGTTTAAGTAGAAATAATATTTTTGATACTTCTGCATTTGGTGTCGCATGATTCGAAAAGACACTCACTGGTGTACGTTTTCTTTCAACTAATTAAACTAGCATTTAAAATGGTAACCTGTCCGATACCATTGTAAGATTCTGTTTTAGTGCGCAGTTATAAGTAGCTAAGGTTTTCCTAGATTCTCCATTTTAACTGTTTCTATCATCTTTTTATTAAACGGAATTGTTGAATTCCACTAACACCATCTATCCCCGCTGATTGACTCAAACATTTTATGTGACTTCTTAGTCACTACGTCGTAAATTGATATGTTTATACATAATATATCGTTTTCGAGAAGTCATCTAGAAATAAAACTATACCACTTTGTACTAAAGTAAATAAACTCATTTATAATTGAATTAAGCTCTATAACAGTCTCGATTTAAACAAATATACTGATATCTAAAAGGGATATGAAACAAGTTATCTTCTTGCTATGCACGCTAATCATCTGAACTTAACATTTTGATTACGTCAGCTGAAGATTAATCCAAAACTTGGATCAAACAGCTGTCCAGTACTCTCTATTTTCAAATGGTTCCGAAACTAATCTCAATCCGTGATCAAACTTGAAGCAAATCAAATCGCTACAAAGAAACTCTGGAAAATTATATTTAGTTGTTGAAGACGTTTCATTTAGAGTGTCTGAAGTATCGATTTATCACAATTAAATGGTTGAGCTAACGAAATTTCGTATGTTCGTGTGTATCCCAATGTGCGAGACTGTTCAACAATCAAGCTTATTGTATGAAATGAATAACGTTTTAGGATGTGTTTCAAATGAAGCCTGATTCTGCGTACAGCAGCAACACTTACAGTTTTCTTGTCTCGAGTAGAACAAATTATTTCTACTTTTCTCACTTCTTATTTAACTGTTACCTTACCGTCATTTTGACTGTAGTCTTTCTTCTGTTCTTTATCTTGCTTGCAAACGTGAAATAGATATTTTCCTGTTCTAATTTACATGTGATTCAAACTCGCATACAGTGACGAATCCGTAATTATTATGAATGAATCATTCACCTTATAAGCTTTGAAATATTCTCCTTCTAAATGTAACTAAGCAGATCAAATTTACTAGAAATACTGTTCTGTTAAAGCGTTAGCTCAATATCGTCTACAATTCAGTTAATCTCATTTCCATCTTTACAACCTTCAGACATGATTTCCTTAAGAAATAAATCATATTTCAATATGTAATTAGTGCATTTGTATCCCACTGGTGTTTTTATTTTAATTACTTCTTGTGAAAAACAGTTATACGGTTTCTGACAACGCACTGGAAATCGATCTGTTATCTACAAAAATGGTAGTTAAAAAAATTATTGCACTTCAGCAATCTCCGTAATCCTTCTTGATTTAGGAAGAAAACCTGCCTACTCGCATATTTTGTTTTCTCCACCTTTCATTATCAGTTGTTGCAATTGCTAAGAATAAAAATGTCGAAATTACTGATTCCAAATATAAAGCATGAAAAAGAAGTACAAAATGTGTGTGAACACATTTTTTGGGTGGTATTTTCTTTGTATCTTTCTAAAAAGCCTAAACAGAAATTCTGTGCAGAAAATAAAAGCTATAGCTAGTAGTTTCCTGATGTAAAACTTTATTTAGAAGGCTATGTTGAAATGTCTCATGATTGAGTGTGTTGTGAGTGTGAGGAAATTCACTGCATGAATTCCTATATGAAAGTGAAAATTCTTCAAATAAGCGAACTATGAGTTTGAACAGTGAGTTTAATCCATTTTAAAAACTTATGCCATCAGTTTTTCGATTGATTTATGCTCGGTACACATTAATGTGACTCTTAACTTAAATACCATGATGACCTGAATGAAATTTAAATAAATTATAATTATATTTCAGTAGTTTGCACACAATGACGATGGAAGCACTTCGGATTAATCACATACATCCTAAACTATGGGTAAAAAAAATAATAGACTTCAACCCTCACCTACTATGGACTACTTGACTTATTTAAACATGATTGGCTATTATCATGTATTTTTGTGTCTCAATGGTCTACGAGCTCGCCTTGTAACCAGAAGGTCCTGGGTTCGAATCCCGGTGGATGCGTGCTGATGAAGAGTCCCAAACTAGGACGAAACAACTGTCCAGTACTCCCAGGTTTTCCAATGTTTCTCTAACTAATGTCAGCTCATGATGAAATCCTCCATGCAACTGAGTAATAGTCATGCATTTTATTTATTCGGGCAAAATCACCACACGAAATATTACTAAAACCAAAAAACTTATCATTGGATGTATACTACTGAAATATAATTAGCGGCCTGGTTGAATCACTGGGCTACCTGAATTTCATTCCGATGTGATGCATCTTATTAGAATAAAACTTGTGCACTGTGGTAGAGTATCATTCCATCCTATTTTCTTTAGTTTCCGTTGTGACAATCATTCAGTTCTTCCGTTGTTCATCAATTGTACTCATACATATTTTTAACTGTTTTGCAACCTACTGTCGCTCACTTCTGCGGGAATAAAGAAGAATACTACAAGGACTAGTTTATTTTTAAGATCTAATATCACCTTGTCACATTATGTACTGGAGATGGCTGTTTTGCTTGAATCTCACGGACGATGAGACAACAATTGTGGGTTCGAATCCCGATGGAGGCGTACTGCTGAAGAGTTCCAAACTAGAACGAAACAGCTGTCCAGTACTCCCAGGTTTTCCAGTGGGTCTCTAACTAATGTCAGCTCATGATGAAATCCTGTAACCATATTGTGTAAACTTGTTGTGCATAATAAAGCTATCGTTATTATTATTAATTATAATTTATTTGATCTATTCCATAATGCACACGCTTTTCACTGACATTTAGTGTAATTTGTTCTCATATTTTTGTGAGCAGTAAATGTTTATTTTTAAAGACCTCATTCGGTGTCAGAGAGATAAGCAACAAAGAACTCTAGCAACAGACCAACTAAGAACCTAGTGCCCAACAAATATGCATGAACAAATAACAACGGGTTGGACACATACTGGGCAGATCTCTGAATATCGCCAAACTCCAGGTTCTTGAGTAATATGCAGATAGAGAACGACGAGTTGAGTATCCGAAGGTGACATGGAGGATATCGTGTTGGGAAGAAACGAAAGCTTATAGGCAGTCGTGTAGGAGCTACAAAAAGACTGCAGAGAACAGGACAATTTGAAAATATGCTTCTGAAGCCTTATATTCAACTCGGAACCGAAAGAACCAATAATATATATATATATATTTAATATTCAGTGTATTATCTATAATCGATTTCAATATATGCTTTGATATAACTCACCTATAATTATACATTTTTCTATTTGCTTAAAGCTACTTTAAGAAACCTAATCTATCAGATGCCTTTACTACTTTTTAGTGTTTATCGTAATGTATAAAAATAATAAAAGATTTGCTTTCTAAAGGGTAACAGATTTCGAACAATGTATTTAAGTGAAAATTTTCAAGCGTGATACAGGCTAAATGGCACTCATTCAACACTTGCACACACCTTTACTGTTGATTAATTTTTTTCCAGTGTATCAGGATTATGTTTGACGTCAATGACATTTACCAGCCTAGTAATAAACTATAGTACCAAATAGGTTAATTTCTACTGGTATG